GATTTTCTCATATCGATGCACACTCTACTGGCTATAATAGACAATAAAACCTTGGCTAGGAATTAAAAAGACGCCTAAAAAACTCTTTTTAAAAGTGTAGTTCTTTTATATCTAGTATAGTTAAGTATAGTTCTTTTATCTTTTTAAAAGTATAGTATAGTTTTTTTAAAAAAGACGCGTTTAAACGCTAGTGAATGGGACAATTTCGGTGTACTCAGACGCGTCTGGTAAAAATGCGTTTAACGCGTCTCCCTCTGATAAAACGCTAGCAAATGGTGCATTTTCGGAGGGATTAAACGCAGCATAAAACGCGTTTTCAGACGCGTCTACGATTGGAAAATACTTACATGAGATACGTTAATTTACCAAGTACTGTCACTTGGATTCATGATTGGCACGGCTAAAAATAAAAGAGAAGGGAGTCTGCATAATTACATACTATTCCATTATTCTCCCATTCCCTCGCACGTATCAATTTTTGTCTAAATCCAAGAAATATGAAAAACCTAATTCATCTATCAAGCGCTGTAAAGTGTTCTTGATCGTTGTCTGCTTCAACCAAAACAGGACTGAATTGCGAAGTCATTGTACAGTTGCTGTCTTATACCTGTTTTGTTTGTAGCACCTGTTCTACATCCCGCATTTTCAGTCTTTTTTTATTAGTTTATATTAATTGATCATTCACTTTTAACAACATAAAATTTCTCTCGCATTTGGATGTGCCCAAAAAAGAGGAAAAACTCGCTAAGAATACTTCATAGGAAAAAGATCCCTAATAGAGACGAGTTAAAAGTTAATTGTTAGACGCAAAATTAATATTACGTTTTGTTTCTCAACATTTTTTTAATTGAATGAAAAGGTATATTGGCGTTACAAATCACTCAGACAGTAGAAAACAAAAAACCATATTCGACGTCGGTGCAGAATCTGAACTTCGAATGACTTCAATGAGAAGTAACCTGTAAAAAACTAAAGCAAATAAAACTATCACAAAGGACGTATTTTATATTTCTCCATCAGTCGCCTATGAAAAGTGAAACAAGTATGATGTTAAAAGTTACCTATGTATTCTGAATTGACTCGTACGCTTTTAATAACTGACATAAACTGCACTTCTTTCAGCTTCAGCAACGGATCACATAGTATAATTTGAAACGAACGTATTATTTTCTCACTAATACATGCGACGACGAAAATATCAAATACTGTGATGGACGTTGGTTGTTCTTCATTAGGTAATTGTAAATAATCCGTGTCTCGAATCGCTGATAACATTGGATCCACAACCTTCAGCTTTTTGCAGCGCAACAAGTATTAGCTCAGGCAGTCTGAAAACACATATCCAACAGCATACCGTGCAATTCTATATTCTATCCAATTTGTCCGACTTCTTCCAAGTTTTCATAGCCAACAATTCTATTTCCTTCAAATATTATAAAACCTTTTTCATGAGCTGCAACCACTGGATATTCTGATAAATTTTCAATTTTTTTTATCAGCTCTAACCTTACTTCTTGACTCATTTTAGTGTGCCGAAGTAAAAATTTATTAAAGCGTGTTAAAAATACAATAGAGATGAAACAGAAGTAAATGGTTAGACCAGTTATTATATATATTTGTATTCAAATGAGAGCATATGCTGTCGTCATTCGTCTGGAGCTCTTTCACATAAACTAAAAATAGCTTTTGTCTCACTAAAAATTTTATACGTACCCTAGAGAATGTCCAGTTTGTCTGGTCTTGAAAACAGAGTACAGACCTATTACTTACAGTTGTCTGTTTTCTGTTTTTATTTTCTTGTCCTGATCAGCTCCAAGACCAGATCAAGACAGTCTGTTTTTTCTACTGATTAGATAAACAGTAAATCTTGAGCTGGTCTTGACATTTTCGAAGAAACAGGCACTGGTCAGGGTGGATAGGCTGTACTTTTCTTTCGAACTTCAAGAACGCAAGAGAATTTATTTTCAGTTCTTTGCATGTGAACATTTATATCTATAAATAATTTTGTAGACCGATATATATAGTTTAGGTAGTCCACGTTTTGTATGAGCTATACAACAGACACGTGGTTGGTTGAAGATATGTTTTCATTATTTCCATTCTAAAACAGACATAACTTACAAAAAAGTGTTCGTTATATAAAGGACACTTCTTATTTTCTTCACATGGAGTGCAAGCTATTTCTATACTTGAACTTTTTGCAGTTTATATGCATTTTTTTTTGACGTTTTCAAAGTACAGGTACATAAAAAAAAGTAATTCATCCACAGAGGCAGTGTATAGCAGTTTCAGTAAGTGAGAGAGTAGACAGACTTAAATTAAACTTAAATTAACTTATTAAGTTATTTATTTATTAAGTTATTATTAATTAACTTAAATTAACTTACATTTTTTCTTTAGCTATCCTGGATATGAAAAATGGGACTCTCTCAAGAAGTGTGCATCAGATATGAGTAAGGCGCCGGTAATTCAAAATTCGAGCACTTTTTAGTTTTCGTTTAAACACACATATTCGGATTCGTTGTATACTGTTGATTCCGAATCTGGCCTTACTTTTTGATTTAAACAAAAAGTTTTGACGGAGAAAAATGGAAAATGCTAACAAACTGTCAAAAACTCGAAAAATCTATTGTTTCCGAAAAATTTTGCTTTTCATTTTATGGAATTTTCGACGTGATATTCGGATTCCTCGTATGAAAATGAGCCTAAAAATGTTTTGGTTTTCTTCTTCTATTGGAAATTTACTTAAGATTGCTTTTAGTATTGTTATATTGCTATTTCCTTGTTGTTTTTACTTTACAGAAAGACATAATTCGATATAAATAGAAATAGAGTTGTAGTGAAAATATTGAAAACTATATAAACTTTAAGAGTAGAAAGATTCACGCCAAAATCTCAAAAAGAGAGAAGGTATACCCTTAATAACTACATTTGTGAATTTTCGTTTTTGCTCGCGTTTTAGAACTACGGTTACCGGGACATCCTAGTGACATACGCGAACTTTCACGAATATCCAAAAATCTACAAATTTTGAGCTCTACAAACTCTCTGAAAGCTCGAATACACTCATATTTAGTAGTAAAAAGTTGTTACCAATGCCTCTTCTACCCATAAGAACTTAAAATACATGTCTGAACTGTCCTCAACAATTGTCTGAGAGAGTTCAGTAATTGACTCAAGGATATACGGTATCTCAGGATATACAGTACGAAGAAAGTTAGAATAAAAAATAGTCACTGATATTCCAGCGAAAGCCGAAACGTGAGGAGCCCGATGGTTCTCAAACATCATTTATATATTGTGATATAAATGGAGTAGAGAAGCTATAAAAATTTGTATCGATGAATGAACGGTAGCTGAAACGAAAGAGAAAATT